AAAAAAAATCCAAGCCTCTCCTAAAATTCAACTAAAACCTTGTCTTGGTACCACTAAAACGATGTCACCACTGTAGCATTCATGACAACAAATTTTATACTTACAACGAATATGGCCACCCAAGCCAGGCCGATGTTGTCGAACGATATGGTGCCCTGGAACGGATTCTCGCCCTGTGACTTGCACTCCGTGTAGTAATAGTTCCAGTTAACACAAGACCCATTGGCAAGGGCCATGGTGGCCGTGGCATTGCAAATTAGTGAATCGTGACCACGCGTGGGTGGCAAGTCGAAACACGAGTGCATTCCATTGTCGTCGTTTTTCGAACATATGTAATCCTTTTCTTCGTCGTTCAGCGTATAGTACGCCGGCAACATCCTGAAAAGTTACAAATTCACGTATTATCAACTGTATTATTATACTTATTAAATAAATATACATTAATATTATTTATAAATGTAGGACCAGGAATTTAAGGCAAAGTGCATTGATTTTTAAGTGCTCCAGGACAATGCATTCCAGGTACATAATTCGTTTCATATAACGTAGGTACATGAAAGGTAAAATTTTTTGGATTTTAGCATTTTCTAATCATTTTATTAGTGTTAAATGCATATATATATATATACACACACATATATTCATATGAATATTAATTCATAGTTAGATATTTCGGGTAAATTTGTTATAATAATAATACATTATAATATTAAGAAATATTGTTCTTATGGAGTCTTGAAGATACATCGCAATCGGATTTATTTCTAGCAACTGTTTATTTAATTCATGCATGCCTATAAATTTGATATCTAGGTTTTGGTATTATTGCATTACATTATGGTAAAGAGKTAAAAATKTCGAATGATAAACCGTTGTTTCCCTATTAGTCGCATAGTTCCATGCCTATGAAAAAAAATTTAAATCCTTTTTTTTTTGGCTATAAAAATGCATTTWTACTTTGGAGCATTTTTTGATAATTTTTAGAGCATTTATATACTTGCAAGGAAAATTCTTAAATATTAGCTTACCCAGGATTTTTCAATTTGGCGTGGGGAGACTAAACAKAGAAAATTATAATTTTATATCCGTTACCTTATACTAGGTCGTTATTACTCTATCGCGTGATCGTAATAATCTCTAAAAATAATTGATAATACGCAAAATAATCCTTCTAAACCATTTTCAAAAATATCATAGATTGTATTTGCCTATTATTATATACAATGTACATATACTAAAACACGCCATTAGGAGGAGCTAAAGCCTTTCAGTCCCACCAGGGGTACGCCTATGTCCATTTAGTTTATAGTTGGTAGGTATGCATTATAGTTATTATGATTTAAAATTAAGACTCTAAATCATTGGTCAACAATTAATATCATTGATGGAAAACTTAATTGTAGGTTTTCATATACACGATAGGTATTACATTAAATAAAATACTTAATTATTTAATATTATATTTTTACATTAAAAACCCAGAATAAAATATGTTATCATAGTATGTTATGAATATTGAAAAACAATTATATTGAAAAAATATTTAAACTTTCGTAATTGCTCAAATAGTTTTTTTTTTTTACTTACAGTCTATATAAATGAGCACATAAAGTAAACGTACTGAATGAATATAATATAAACATTGGCTTAAATAACTTGAGCAGGAACCGTTTAGTAACAGTGTAGTACCTCCCATTTTGATGATTTCTATAATAGTAAACCGTTTTCTTCTTATTATTTCAATAAAAGTGTCTCTAGGCCATTTTCATTTGAGTCTTCTTTGTGGATTGTTAGAAATGGTGTTAGATGACATTCGGGAAGTTAGTGGGTTCGAGTTTGAGTCAAGTTTGGAATGAAATTTTTTGTAATGTTGTATTGATACTTTGGTAATGGTTAAACTATGTAGATAGTCATTTTATGTAGAGGATTGTTGGCCATGACCCGTGGGACTCCAGTCATTTTCCTAAGCATAGTTATTTGGAATTACATTATTATAACATACATGTACCTATGTCTTATTCAATTTTTTTTTTTATTAGCTTATAACCAAAGGTTATTATAGCTCAACAATA